GCTGCTGGTCATGGCGGCAGCTGGCAGTGTCTCCCTGCCTCAGTTTTCCACTTCCCAGAATTCTCCTCTCTCCTTGTCCCACCTACTTCCTGCCTGGCCACTGGTCAATCAGTGTTTTATTTATTGACCAATCAGAGCAATTTGACATACAGACCACCCCACAGCATTGTTCCACTCTTGCTTCACAGCTGTAACTTTGCTACTATTATGAATTGTAATGTAAATATCCGGTATGCAGGATCTCTGATAGAGGACCCCAAAGGGTCTCGACCCACAGGTTGAGAACCAGTGAGATGGCTTTCAGCTGCCCATGCCCAACCACTTAACTCCAATTCCCATAACCCACATAGTGGGGGGAGAGAAACAGTCCTTGGAAGTTGTGTGGTCTCCACCCACACTTCCCGTGCCCTCCCCCCCAACAAATAAATGTAATAAAAAATTCTCAAAATTAATATGGGGTCATCGAGGTGGCTCAGCAGGTAAAGGTGCTTAGTCTGGAAGCCTGAGCTCAATCCTGGAAAACCACATAGAGGTGGAAGGAGAGAACAGACTCCTAAAGGTGTCCTCTGACCAACACATACACAACACACACATTCACACACCATTAAATAAATACAGTTATTTAAAAATTAATGTGATGAGAGCCATTCTTTAGATATCATCTCCCACCTTTTGGGGTGGATTCACGTAGAATCAAATTCACAACAAAGCCAAGGATGACCTTGAATTCCTGATCCTGTCCTCCCGCCTCAACTTCCAGAGTGCTGGGGTTACAGGTATATGCCACTGTGCTTGGCCTTTGCTTTGTTGGGGAAGGTCCCTAAGCTTCTTACACTTTACTAATCAAGTTATAGCCTCAGCCCCTCAGCTAAGTTAAAAAAAAAAAAATCAGTAAGACTCCTGTCTTCCTGTGGAAACTGACAGAGATCTTTTCCATCTTAGAAATATTAAAACATCAAGAGAATGCAAGTGAGTGACCTGATCACATTTCCTCAGGGGACAGTGACTGTACAGGTGCCTTTGGGGCGCGCACGCGTGTATGTGTGTATGTGTATGTGTGTACATGTGTGCACGCATGAACTCCATTAAGCGCTGATAGGCAGGATACCCTAATCTCCTGGAGACAGTTAATGGATGACTACAGTGTTCCTGAAAGACAGTAGGATTTTAATGACTTGTGAACAGAAAGTGCTGATTTATGGGCTGGGTAAAAAAAATGCTTAATCGGAAGTAAAGTTAGGGTCCCTAACACCAGGGATAATTAGAGCCATTTGTCACATGTGAAAGGTTGTGTGTCTACATGTGTGTGTGAACATGAGCATGTACAGGGGCCAGAGGTCAACATCAGGTATCTTCTTCCGGTTCTTATCTTTTCAGGTGAGTCACTGGACCTGGGGCTATGCATTTGGCTACTCTGGCTGGCCTGCGCGCATCGTGGATCCTCCTGTTTCTTATAGGATTATAAGCGGGGCCTGCCTGCACCGGAGTTTACATGGGTGCTGGGGATATGAACTCCGGTCCTCAGGAACGTGTGGGCCGAGTGCTTTCTGACCGAGCTGCCTTCTTGAAGCCGGGGTTGGAGAGCAGAGGGGACAGTGTGGGAGGAAGGATCCTGGGGACACGGAGAAGGCCTGCAGGACGGCCAGGGCAGGGCACGTAGGAGTGACAGACCCCATGAGAACCTCCCTGTGCATTAGCGAGTCCCCCACCCCCAGAGCAAGCACCGCCGCTGTTTACCCAGAGAGCGATCAATCACGTGGTGGGAAATGCAGAGTGGAGCCCGGAGCTGGAGACAAACACCGGACACAGCCTCCATCTGAGGAACACGGGGCCTCTGGGGCAGGGGCTTCCGTTTGCTTGGTTGGTTGGGTTTTTGGTACCAGGGTCTTGCTAGGTAGCTGTGTTAGTCAACAGAATGAGTATGTATTCAAAAAGGGGGTGCATTCAGTTGGCTTACACAATACCATCTAAGACCCCCAACAATGGCTGTCTCCTACTGAAGAGGCTGAGAACACCTTAGCTGCTCGGTGCACATGGCTCGATGCCTCAGTGGGCCCTGAAGGCCTGGGGGATTCCTGGAGAGTCACTGGTCTCCAGTCCACATTGGATGACTCAAGTCGTCAAGAATGACAGAGTTGCCTGCAGCAGCAGCAGTGACAACTTTCCCAGCTCCAGCTTCCTTCTACCTGGCGGCCACTGGAAGGTGCCACCCAGGTTTAGGGTGGGTCTTCTCACTTGAATTAAACTGATGGAGAAAACCCTCACAGGTGTCCTCGGCAGTTTGCTTGTTACCCGATTCCAGATCCAGGCAAGCTGACAAAGCATCATCATCACTGCGATTCTCCTGCCTCAGCCTCGAGTACTAGAGTTTTGGAGAAGGGTAGACCCAAGAGGCTCTTCCCCTGTGTTTCAATGCAGCAGAAATCACAAGCAGGTTTGGTTCCCAGTGCCTGCACCTGGAGGCTCTCAACGCCTGTAACTCCAGGCGCCCTCTTCTGGCCCCCATGGGCACCTGCAGTCACACACACATAGACATAAATAAAAATAAAACAATTTTTTGTTTTGTTTTGGTTTTTTTCCAGGTAGAGTTTCACTGTGTAGCTCTGATTGTCCTGGAACTTGCTCTGTAGACCAGACTGGCCTCAAAACCACAGAGATCCTCCTGTCTCTACCTCTGGAATGCTGGGATTAAAGATGAGCACCACCACCACCACCACCAGGATAATAAATCTTAAAAAACAAAATTCAGGGGCTGGAGAGATGGCTCAGAGGTTAAGAACACTGGCTGTTCCTCCAGAGGTCCTGAGTTCAATTCCCAGCAACCACATGGTAGCTCACAACCATCTGTAATGAGCTCTAGCTCCCTCTTCTGGCCTGCAGGGATACATGCAAACAGAACACTGTATATATAATAGGTAAATAAATTAAAAAAAAAAAAATTCAGACAGGGGAGTGGAGGAGAAGGTGGGGAGAAAGAGAGGTAGCCCTGAGTCTGGCAGTTCAGCTCTGTAATTATTAGATACATTCCATACATTCCAGGCAAATGCAAGCCAACATCCACAAGTGACAGTCCCCATGATTTCACACACCACTCCATGCCACTATTTCTTTTTTAAATACATCTTCCACCTGAAAACTGAACATGTTAAGCTGGGTGTAGTGTTACACACACCTGAAATCCCGGCTTTCTGGAGGTGGAGGCTGGAGGGTCAGAAATTCAAGGTCATCCTCAGCTATACAGTCGGTCTGAAGCCAGCCTGGACTACACGAGACTTTGTTTATAAATAAATAAATAAATAAATAAATAAATAAATAAATAAATAAATAAATAAATAAATAAACAAACAAAGTGAGCCAGATGGCTCAGCAGGTCCAGGCGATTGTGTCAAGCCTGATGACCTATATTTCATCCCGGGACCCAGATGACAGATGCAGAGAATCAGCTCCTGCAGGCTGCCCTCTGAACGCCACATACATGCTGTGCATGCCCACCTCTGCAAGTAAATAAATGTAATTTAAAAATTAAAAGAACAAAGCGGCAAAGGAAACCATCTGAAACAAAACAACCCCTGCAGAAGGAGCACAGCACACGTTTGTGCTGTAGACAGGCACTTCATGTTCACACTGTGCAAGGAAACCCACTCAGAGCTCTCTTGTTTACTCAGGGGACAGGTGTGCCTTTGCCTTGGCACGCATGCGGAGGCCAGAGGAAACTTTCAGGAGTCAGCTTTCATCTTCTACGTGCAGGTCCCGGGAACTGAACTCAGATCACCGGCCTTGACAGCACGCACCTTTACCTCTGAGCCATCTTGCCAGCTCACTGTCCCGTCGTCTAAACTGTTGCTCCGACCCGTTGCTTTATACCCTTGCACTTGTTCTTAAGAGGTTTTGTTTTGTTTTCGTTTTTCTTTAAAATCCATGTTTCTAATACTGGATGCTACATGTCTTCATCAGGTCACACCATATTTATTTTAAAAATATCCAGAAACTTCTCTCCCCTCACTGGAGTTGGGGCAGTGACCAGAACGGCAGGGCCAATCAGAAGGCTTCCAGGGCAGTGACCAGGACAGCAGGGCCAATCAGAAGGCTCCCAGGGCAGTGACCAGAAGGCGGGGCCAATCAGAAGGCTCCCAGGTCCGTCACAGCCTTTTGGGCCACATAGGAAACTCCTCAGGTTTCTGGTCCCTGCTAATCAGTTTAGAGAGCCTAAGCCGTCTTCTCAAATTCTGTTTTCAAAGAAATGGGACTTAAGTCAACCCAGATGGGATAATGTCACCAAGAAGGACCTCACCAGCTGCAGTCAAAAGTTGTCTGAAGCCAGCTGGGCAACTCAAAGCCACAACTCTGCCTTCTGCAACTGTGGATTCTTCTGAAACATGGCGTGCGTGTCAGCTACTAGTCCAGTCTCTAAGAAAAAAGAAAGTTAGAACAAAATGTAAATTGGAAGGGCTCAGAGATAGCTTTGCGGTTAAGACGCCTGCCAGCCAAGTGTGAGGACATGAGTTCAGATCCTTGGTGCTCACATAAAAACCCTGGCACAGTGGTATGCACCTGCAACCCCAGTGCTGGTGAGGGAGACAGGTGGGTCTCTGGGGGTGCTTGGCTGGCCAGTCAAGCTGATTCTGTGAGAGACCCTGCCTCAAAAAATAAATGGTGGAGAGGGTTGGAGAGACAGCTCAGAGGTTAGGAGCGTGGACTGCTCTTTCACAGGATCCAAGTTTGGGTCCCCGAAACAGCATTGGGTAGCTTCCAAGAATTTCAGAAAGTCCAAACCTGGGGTGGGGATGAGCATGGGGTAATTGCTGATCCTGTAAATGGAAATGCAGTGGGGGTCGCATCAGAAGCTGTCCTCCAGGCCTGGGTCCACAAAAGGAGGGTGTGAACTAGGTCACGGAGCCACAGAGCAGCCTTTTCCCTGCAAGCAGTCCCCTGCCTCCACCCATCCAAGTGAAGCTGTCAGGGGCAGTGCCTCCGGGTCCCCATCATTCCCCAGCTGGCATCGTGCTGGAGCCGAGGAACTTACAGGGTGTGTGCAGAGGATGGCCGCTTCCCTCGATCCTCCTCCCTGGGGTGTGCACTGTGACCATAGCCATAAATAGATTGGTTGTTGGGTGGATGCAAACCCATGCCAGACAGCCAAACTTTTCCTTGCCCCTGCCTGACACAAAAATGAAATAAAGTATAAAACTTAAGTTAATATTTTTAAAAAAGGAAGAAAAAGCCAGAAGAGGCTAGAATGAGCAAACGTTAGTTGAACTGATAGCAGAAGGTCATTGAGGCCTTCGCTTCATTGGGGATGAACTGACTGTGGTGGTCTGAAAGAAAATGGCCCCCAAAGGGAGTGGCACTGTTAGGAGGTGTGGCCTTGTTGGAGGAAGTGTGTCACTGTGGGGGCGGACTTTGAGGTCTCTTTTGCTCAAGCTTCCCTCAGTGTGAGGGTCAGTTGACTTCCTGTTCCCTACAAGATGGAGGACTCTCAGCTCCAGCACCACATCTGTCTGCACGCCACCATGCTCCCTGTCATGATGACAATGGACTGAACCTCTGAACTGTAAGCCACCCCAATGAAATGTTTCCCTTATAAGAGTTGCTGTGGTCATGGTGTCTCTTCACAGCAATAGAAACCCTAAGACACAGACCCTCTGAGTTGACATACCCCAAGCTGGAAGAGGGGCCCTAGTGGATGATAATTAAAATTACAGATATCACTGGCATCCTAAGATGCAACCAGAGAAAGCCCAGAAGACTGCAACTGTCGAGGGCCATTTTCTTTCTTTTTTTTTTAAAAAAGGTCTTGTTTATTCTTATGTGTGTGGTGTTTTGCCTTCATGTATGTCTGTGCACTGCCTGTGTGCCTGGTGCCTCAGAGGCCAGAAGGTGGTGTCAGATCACTCAAGGGAGTTAAGACCAGGTGGGCAACTGAATGAAACCCGGTTTACAAACTAAAAGTAAAAGGAGGCTCAGGGCATATAGATTAGTGTTGGAGTACCTGCTGTCACATGTGGGGGCCTGGGTTCCAAGCCTGCATCACCAACAAAACAAAACCCCCAAACCCCAAACAAAACTTTTAGAATTCTGGCATTACTGTAGGTGGTAAGGCCCCCCACATACTTCCCCCAGCTTCTCTTACATAACCATAGTATATTTGTTAAAATGAAGAAATTAACATCAGTACAACAATAAAAACCTAGGGCTGGGGAGACGGCTCAGAGGTTAAGAGCAATTGCTGCTCTTCCAGAGGACCTGGGTTCAATTCCCAGCAACCACGTGGAGTCATAGATGGTTGTGAGCCACTATATGGGTGCCGGGAACTGAACCCAGGTCCTCTGGAAGAGCAGCTAGCGTTTATCATCATCTCTCCAGCCCAAGAGCAGAACTACTACGGTACATTTCTCTGGAGTCCACTCAGAGCCCAAGGGATAATGTTGGGTGCACAGTGGGGTGGCTGGGGTGGGGTGGGGTGAGGTGGGGTGGGGTGAGGTGGGGTGGGATGGGGTGGGGAGGGGATCAATAACACGGTAAGTGGTTTATCTGTGTGGCCCAACTTCATGAAAGTTCAAACAGAAAGTTCCAGGGCTCCGGAGGACCAGGTCTGCCAGACCAGGGACAGAGCAGGTGGGGCACATCAGCACAGTCACTTTTTCTGCCAGGCACTCGAGGAAATGGGAGATTTGTCATTTCCTCCTGTCCCTACTGGCCACCCAGCTAGATGGCCACAGCCACAGCCTAAGTCACTTAGTGACACCTTAAGGTGAGGTGGAGAACTGGCAGCTCCCCACTCGGAGACCCCCTCCTGGGGGGCGTGGCCACAGGGAAAATCTAGCCATTGAGTGAGCATCAGGTGATGCCCGGAGGGAGGGAGCTCTGTCTGTGCCTAGTGTGCATGAAGCCCTGGCTCCATCCCTAACACCTTTAATCCGGGCACTCAGGATGCAGAGGATAGCCCCATCTACATAGTGAGTTTCAGGCCAATGAGTGCTATATAGTGAAACTCTATCTTAAAATATTATATATATAATAAATAAATGCAATAAAAAAATTGAGCAGATCAAGTTTTAAGAGATGCTGGAGGACGGTTTCCCTTCCCCCTTTCCTACCCCTCAAGGCCCCTCTTCTTGGTCTTTTGGCACAATGAGCTCCGTCTGCAAATCTGTCTACTTATTTGATTGTGGTCTCCGCTCTCACAGCCCTTCCGGATTCCTGTCCGGTTCCACTATCGAGATTTACATTTAAATGTGGAAGTCTGATCCGCCATGAGAGGTAATCAATGGGAAATGGTTCCCTCTTGGCCAACTGCAAGTGGAGTCATCACTGAAAACGAATTGTGTTGGCAGCTTCAGGTCACAGGGAGCACACCCTGTCCCATTAGAGGGTCCAGCGTTTGCTGAGTCCTGGAAACTACACACAAGTGATACTTTATGTCATTTGAGCAAATCAAAGGATGGAGGATAAATTCCCACACTCTTGGTGCAAAAGGCCCAAAATTTTAGTAGCATGCCTTTTGGACAGTTACTATAATCTCT